TGAAGACCATTACTAACATCGTCATCATCAAAGCGTAAGACATGTTTTTGGTCTTTGGGATTCATAGAACAAGGGAGTTTAACTTAGTCACTCTTCATTCCATTATTCAATTCAACACACAGTCACTGAGGTCTACTCGGTGCCCGTCCCTGTGAGAGGCAATGGGCACACTGTGGTGACCAAGATAACCCCGGGCCTTGGCCTTGGCCTCATGGGGTCACAGTCCTGGGGGTGGGGAGACAGACATTAAATAAAACATTGCACCAATAATTGTATGGTACACATCGTGATAAACACAGGGGGTGATGAGAGAGTTTAGGCGGTGGTCCTGCCTTACCTGGGGCATCGGAGAAGGCTTCTCTGAAGAGGTAGCACTAGCTGTGGATGTAGCTAAGTGGAGTACAGAGGAAGGAGCCCGCATGTGCAGTGACCCCCAAGGCAGCACAGAGCTTGTCCTGAATGAGGATCAAAGGGAGGCACGTCTGGTTTACGGGAGTGAGGAGGGAAGGACACAGATGAGGTGGAAGGTGCAGGGGCCTCACTCTGCAGGACTTCGAAAGCCACAGAGAACAAGGTGGACTTTATCCAGAGGGCTGTGGGAAGCCATGGAGGGTTTTGAGCAGGGAGTGACATGATTTGATGACCATTTTTAAAAGATCCCCTTTGGATGGGTATGCTCAGTGGTTTGGTTCATTGCTTCAACCCTGGTCCCTAGGAGTAGGGCCTGGCATGTAGAGTGAAGTATTGTAGACTGGAGTCCACCACCCGGCTCCACCGCCACCACACTGGGCAATCTGGGTGCACCGTTACCAAAAATGCTAAGGTGCTGTAACAGAGAGGCTGTCAATAGCAAGAATTAAAGAAAACAGAAGGGTCTGAGGTGAGCAGTCCAGGTGGGTGGGGCAGCCCCTGGGTGTTATCCTGCTTTCCACGGCTGAAACCGAGCTGTGGCCCTGTCCATAGGCCAGTTCACAAAGAGAAGGGGAAAGGGCCAAGTCCAGGATGAGCCGTCTTCCTACAAGCAAGGCAAGCACTACAACCATCACTCTGCTTTTGTTCCACTGGGAACTTGGTCTGGTCATAGCCACAGTGGACCTCAGAGGCTGGGGGGGCAGCGTAGGGGCAGTGCTGGGCTAACGTGGCCTCTGGCTGGGCAGCTTTGTGCCCAGCTGCTATCCTATCTCATGGAAGATGGGAAGGATGGATTTGGCGGGACAGCTGGCTGCCTGTGCCTCTTAGCCTCAGTTTCCTCATCTATAAAGTGGATATAATAACAGAACATAACCCATAGGGATCTTGTGAAATTAAATGAATGAATAAATGGTTACTTCTAAGCAGCTCTTTGCTGATGCCACGCAGCTTAGAGTACCGCCACGTTGTTGTGAGTTAATACGTCCATAGGTAAAAAGATTCCACTGTATGTCCCTACGAGGTCGACACCGTGGTGGTCCTCACCTCAGAGGTGTGCAAAGCGGGACTCAGTGATGAGGACCCGTGGGGTGCCCCTGGCCTGCCTGACTCTCTCCCCTCCCCGCTGCACCCCCTCCCAGAGCTGTCCTGGTTCCAGACGGTCGGCGAGTCAGCGCTGGGCGTAGAGGCTTTCTCCTACCAAGGGGAGCCCCACGTCGTCCTGGCACAGCCCTTTGCCGGCCGCTGCCTGATCCTGACCTGGGACTACAGCCTGCAGCGCTTCCGGCAGGAGGAAGAGCTGTCTGGTAAGCCCACTCCCATCCTCCAGCCTGCCAGGTAGCCTGCCCAGCTCGTCTGACAGGCGCCCTGCTCCCCGCCTCCCCACAGCGCCCTCGGTGGTGTCCTGCAAGCCGCTGGTGCTGGGCCCACGCCTCTTTGTGCTGGCCGCCCGCCTGTGGGGAGGCTCGCAGCTGTGGGCCCGGCCCGGCCCCGACCTGCGCCTGGCCCCGCTGCAGGCCCTGGCTCCACGGCGGCTGCTGCGGCCCAATGACGCCGAGCTCCTGTGGCTGGACGGGCAGCCCTGCTTCGTGGTGGTCGACGCCTCCAAGGCGGGCAGCACCATGCTGCTGTGCCGGGACGGGCCCGGCTTCTACCCGCGCCAGAGCCTGCACGCCTGGCACCGGGACACGGATGCCGAGGCCCTCGAGCTGGACGGCCGGCCCCATCTGCTGCTAGCCTCTGCCTCGCAGCGGCCCGTGCTCTTCCACTGGTTTGGGGGCCGCTTCGAGAGGCGCACAGACATCCCCGAGGCCGAGGACGTCTATGCCACACGCCACTTCCAGGCCAGCGGAGATGTGTTCCTGTGCCTGACACGCTACATCGGGGACTCCATGGTGAGGCTGAGCCCAGTCCCGTGGGGCAGGCACAGGCCGGGCCTGACCTGCATCGGCAGACTCCCACTCAGGGCTGACCTTCCAGCACTGACCCCACCTTGCGCACTGGCCTCTGAACTCTGACCCACCTCACGGGCTGAGCTTCCTAATGTGCTGATCTTTGAGCTCTGACCCCACCCCAACACTGACTCCAAGACTGTGACCCCTCGAGGCTGGCTGACCCTAAACCACTCCCCATCCCCCAACACTGACACTGGCCCCGAGATGCTACCGCCAAACTCCAACACACCCCAGAAACTACATTTAATCACACCCTGAAGCCCCAGGGCTGACGGCCCACCCCCTCCAGCACTCTCTCTCTGGAGTGAGGTACAGCCAGGGGGAGGGCTCTGGGCCTAAAAGGCACTGATCTGACGCAGGTGTTCACAGGGTGTCTGCATGGGGAGCAGACTGTGGGCACAGGGACAGGAGCAGGGAGATCAGGAAGACCAGGAAGGAGGCTGTGTGATGGTCCAGGAGGGAGGTGACTGTGGCTGGGCTGGAGGGCAGCCAGAATAAATGAGAGACATAAATACCATGGTAGGTGAAACTGACAGATTCCAGGGCTGACTGATTCTATGTGGGGTGTGAGGGAGAGAGAAGGGCTCAGAATGACTCCAAGTCGGTGGCCTGAGCAGCTGGGTGGTGACATTTATGAAGATAAGAAAGCTGTGGGAGTTTGGGGACCTGCAGGCCTCTGTTCCCAAGCTGTCCCAGGTCCTCCAAAGCCTAGAGGACCACTGACGGGCAGGCCTGGCCCTCTTGGACCCCAGCCCTAATAAGCGGCCACCCTCCGCAGGTCATGCGCTGGGATGGTTCCATGTTTCGCCTGCTGCAGCAGCTTCCCTCTCGCGGCGCCCACGTCTTCCAGCCACTGCTCATCGCCAGGGACCAGCTGGCTATCCTGGGCAGCGACTTCGCCTTCAGCCAGGTCTTCCGCCTTGAGCCTGACAGGGGGCTCCTGGAGCCACTGCAGGAGCTGGGGCCCCCAGCCTTGGTGGCCCCCCGGGCCTTTGCCCATATCACCATGGCCGGCAGACGCTTCCTCTTCGCTGCTTGCTTCAAGGGCCCCACACAGATCTACCAGCATCACGAGTTAGACCTCAGTGCCTGAGACTGGAAGGGCCCCTGGACATGGCTGGCAGAGGGCTGGCATGGGGAGTCCTGGGCCTCTGGATGCCCCATTGCCTAGACTCCTGGTCCTACTCAGAGGTGACTGCTGGTCCTGTGAGATACTGACCACAGGCCAAGTTCCAGGCAAGAGCTGCTCGTCCAGTCTTAAGCAACATCTTGGCTGGGGGCAAATGACCCCTCCCCCTCCAAGAATGACTTGGGGGCTCAGGCTGGGGCACCGCCACACGGAGACAGTACAGAAATCATGGGGGGCGGGGGGTAATGTGCAGAGCTCCATGAGGTCTGGAAGCGCCCCGCTCAACCCGCTCTCAACCCTCCTATTCCCTGTAAAAGTACTACGGAGAGGATAGCTTTCCTTTTCCTTCTAAACTCAATCCAGCCAATCGCTTTTAGTGCCCGCGTCCATGACGTCATCAGTAGCTGGGGAGTTTTCCCTCTCGGGCTTGCTAACTTCCTCTGCTGCTTGTGCGCATGCCTGCTGCCGAGGCGGAAGCCCAGCGTGTCTTCCCTGTTGCGCGTGCGCAGGGAATAGGCGGGAAATTGAGAATTGTTGCCGGGAGTCCGAGGTACCCGTCCTCGGTCGGTGAAAGGGGCGAGGACAGAAAGTGTACGAGCTCAGTAAACGCGCTGTGCACCCGCCTCACCGGTTGTTGTGGGGTCTTTGGGAGAGGGTGTCTGCTGTGGCATGGGGGTGGGGTGAGGGAGGAGGATTCGTGTCCCAGGAACGGTATTATGAGGGGGGGGTGTCCCAGGGTACATTTTGGCTGCCCTTGTTGAGCTTTCGCGAGGTTTCTAAGGAGTATGTGCTCATGATTATGGGGGGCCTAGTGGGATGTCCAAGGGATATAAGGGCATTATTAGGGGACAGGTCACGTGTTTATTGTTGGTCTCGTGTCTTATGTATTGTAGGAGATACTGCGGGGTGTTTTGGAGGATTTTAGGCATTTTTATGGCTCTTGGGGACATTTTGGAAGTCTTATTGGCTATTGGAGACTGTCTCAAGGGAGTTTAGGGCTTGTTGGAGTTCTCACACCGTGTGGTCATTATATATTATTAGGAGTATCATGGGGAATCATTTAAAGGTCTTACAGGAACATTTGAGTGTTAGGAAGGGTCTTTTATAATAAAATGGGGTCTGAGGTGAGTCGGAGGGTCACTATTATAATCATAAGCTATCTGGCTACTCCTGTTGTGACAGGATGATCCCACATCCTAGTTTTCCTGGGAAGGTCCCACTGTCCACCTGAGTGTCCCAGCATTCCATCTGACTAGAGCTCCCTTTCACTCTCAGAATGTCCCCCATGTGGCTACTAGAGCATTTTAAATGGCAGATGTGGCTCCCATGGCCACGGAGGCAGAGGTCAGGCCCCATGCCGTCCACCAGGCCATGAGGAAGCAGGCCTGCGGGCTTGTCCCAGTGGAGAGATTCAGCTGCCAGCTTCCATGCTGGCCCCCATGCACATCCACCTTCTCCTGGCCCCCCAAAACCCCAACGCGCACATAGGGAGTTTCGAGGCTGCTTGGGCATAAGGCAAGATCATTTAAGAGTGAAAATTGAACAAAGACCCCCTCCAGTGAGAGATGAGATGGAGCCCTGGCCAGGTGGTCTGAGAATTCCATCCTGGAGTTTAGGATCCTGTGCAGAGCCAGGACTTGGGGAAAGAGTGGCCCTCGGTGCTCTTTCCGCTGATCCATCCTCAACAGTTATGGGCAGAGCCTGGGAGAGGTGACAGGGTCAGCTCGTGAGAGTGGATCAGGTTATATCTCCCCAGGGTGCATACACACACACACACGCACACACACACCTCATACCCTATGTCCCAGTCAGCTCCATTCTGTCCCTGTCTTACCTGAAGTGATGAGAGGTGGGGCATCGCTTGGATAGTGACTAGGGAAAGAAAAGTGATGAGATCTCTGTTCACCCCCGTTCATCCTCTCCCTCAAGGCTAGAGGATTCTCAGCTTGCCCCGACATATCTTCCTAGGTATTTTCCCACAAAGTGGTACCATCCCAGGGACCAAAGCATTTCATGATTGGAGGCCCTCTGAGGATTCATGGCTCTGAAGAATAAACCTGGAAGATCTCAGTAACAGGAATTCTCCAGGGCAAGACCCAGAAACCCGGCCTTTTTTTTTTTTTTTTTGCGAAATTTAGCTCTTTCCCCCTGAAAGGTGTCTGTCCAGTATGAGGCAGGCACACTGCCTGGGACCCATCTTACCGGGGCTTCCGGCTGAACTTGCATTTGCATTTCCCACCTGTTAGGAGAGAGGGGAACGTCAGGGGAGGGCACCCACCGCCCTGCGCTGCCCACTCCCCCGCCAGCTGCTCCACTCACTCATGAGGACGATGAAGCCAATGGCGCACAGGACCGCTGCGAAGATGAGCCCGCCGACACGGAGGCTGAACCAGTCTAGGAGAAACCCAGAGGGGGCCCTCGGTGCCAGCCCGTGCCCTCCTCATCCAAGCCCCCAACCGCTTGACGATATGCATTAGGCACCCCTGATGTGGGATACAGCAGTGGAGAGAACAGACAGCCCTCCAGTCCCTGCACTCACTTTCCAGTCTCTACACAGCAAGCGACAGAGATCTAACGTGGAGTTAGGTAGAGAGAAGCGGTCTGAAGACATATAAGCAGGGCCAGGGGACGGAGAGTCAGAAGACAGCTCTTTTAGGGAGAGTGGCCAGGGGAGACCCGGCTGAAGGGGCACATTTGAGCAGAGGCCTGAGGAGGGGAGGGAGGGAGCGTGGGGCGACGTGGAAGAAAACGTGGGGGTGGTTCTAAGGACCAGGCTGGCATGCCTGGTTGCCTTAATCCCCTGTGTTTACTGTTCAATGCCCCAATCCTCGCCCCTGCGTCACCCGCATCAGACCCTCACTCAACCCTGTGTGGGACCGTTGGCACGAAATCGGTCTGAGGGGTGAGTGGGGCTGCAAAGGGAGGGGCACAGGCTCTCACCGTAGTAGAAAGGACTGTTTTTATCTGCAAGGAAGGAAAAATAGGACATGAATCCAGGATAAGAGTGGGGATGCAGGGGTCCTGGGGGAGACTTTGGGGGCGGGACTGGTGGAAGAGTCGGTCTGACTCACCTTCTGGGTCGTTGGCATCCAAGGCAGGCAGGCCTGGCAGGGAGAAGCGGGGTAGGAGAGAGATGGGGGTGCTGGCCTCGGCAAAGCTGGGGCCAGGGCCGTTGGAGCTCCAGGCCTAAGCTTAGGGTCCCCTGATGGACAGTTCCCCACCTCCCACGGGCACAGGGGTCCAACCCCAAACTAGCTCCTCTGCACGTTCCACCTCGGAAATGAGGGTTTCCCCTGACTCAGCCCCACACCTGCAATAGGTTTTCACTTGGGTGGCTTTGGGCCACCTAGCCAGCCTTTGGCCTGATGTTTCCAGACACCTGGCTAATCCACACCCCCTGCAGAAACGAGCGATGGTCTTGTCAAGATGACAGGTGGCTTCAGCTCCCAGGCGTTCTCAGCCCTCATCTCCTGGTTCTGCCACGTCCACATCCCACCCACCCCTCACCACTCCCCTTAAAGTGACTTACTAATTATAAACTTAATATGCTTTATTTAAAAATGCAACTTTACATCACTACCCTGAATGGAATGGCAGTCTTGCCCAATGTAACTGATAAAAACAGATACAATGAGGGCTTCCCTGGTGGCGCAGTGGTTGAGAGTCCGCCTGCCGATGCAGGGGACACGGGTTCGTGCCCCGGTCCGGGAGGATCCCACATGCCGCGGAGCAGCTGGGCCCGTGAGCCATGGCCGCCGAGCCTGCGAGCCTGCGCGTCCGGAGCCTGTGCTCCGCAATGGGAGAGGCCACAACAGTGAGAGGCCCGCGTACCGCAAAAAAAAAAAAAAAAAAAAAAAAAAAAAAAAAACAGGTACAATGAAAGCAAAGGACTAGGTTTGAATTCTGGCTAGAAGCAGTGGGCTGCCTTAGCTCTGGGCCTAAGCTCTGTTCTTTCTTTGTTAAAGGGAGGTTCATATTTTTAAATTATATTTAAAGCACAAACACATGGTGCTTACTCTGTCCCAGGCACTCTTCTAAGTGCTCTGCAAACAGTAACTCGTTTAATCCTCACAGTGACTCTATAAGTAGGTGCTACTATTGTCCAGATGGGGAAACTGAGGCACAAGGGGCTTTGGCAACTTGCCACATAACCTTGAAACTCTTACCTCTCGTAATCAAGTGTTAAGAAGTGTTAAAGACACAGTAGCCCAGAGCTGAGCCTTCTTGATATCACCAAGGAGACATCAAGACCACGCATGACGAGCTGCGTGAGCCTCTGCTGTAAGAGGTCCTCCTTTATGTGTTCCTTGAAATCACCAGTGTGGTACTTCCCACCTTCCAGGAGATGCTGTCCTGAGACTCACCACCCCACAGGGCAGGCAGAAAGCACGAGAGAGCCACACACAAGCGTGGTCACCACCCAGCTGAGGGGGTCAGGGGAAAGGCAGTCCAGGAACGGGCACTCACCTGCCAGGAGGACGAGCAGGCTCAGGGCCACCTCTTGCATGTCGGAGAGCTGGCCTGGAGGGATCTAGGGGGGAGGTCCAGCTTTAGCAGGGCTACCGGGATGCCTGTGGTTCCCAATCCCCTGCTGCTGTGCTCCTTATCCAGGGTACACAGCTCACCCCAGGGCAGAAAGCCTGGCCTTGAAACTCCGCTGGGCTGAGAGATAAGAAGGAGCCGGAAAGTGCAGTGGGGGCTGGGTGAGAACGAAGGCCTACGGGGGGAGCAGCAATAATAACTCACTGGACGTGGACTTGAGGCTTTAAGTGAATTGCCCTGGCAACCAGATGAGGAAGGTGCTGCCAGCTGTTATCCCCATCTTACAGATGTGGAAACTGAGGCTCCAGAGGTGAAAGTGGGTGCTCAAGGTCACCTTGCCAGGAAGCGGGATTTAAACCAGACCTGGCTCTGCGGAGGCTGTTCCTAACTCAGGGCTCTCTCAGGGCCTTGGGGTGTTTTGGGAAATGGGGTGTTGGGAGCCAGGTGGCAGGAGGCCTTGCTCCTGGGCGTGTCTCCCATAGACAGCTCGGAGCCTGCCCGCCCTGCCCAGACTTCGCAGAACTTGGGCTGGGCCAGGGCTGGGGACTGAGCTGGCTCCTCTTGTTGCTCTGGACAGGATGTGGGGAGGAGAGAACTCAGAGAGGATGGGGGAGGGGGGAGGGGGAGGGAGAGGGCAGCCCCAGCCTCATCTTCTGCCCCACCCTCCTCGCACCCCACCGTCCTGCTTCTGCCCCACCCCTGCCCATCCCACCCCAGTCCTCGGTCCTGCCTCTACCCCTACCAAGCTCCTCTGGCAGCAAACAATTCCTCTTTCCCCAGGTAGGCCTGCGCAGCACAAAGAACACTCCGCCGCCCCCTTCTTGGTCCAGTATCAGTCCCCCTGTGCGTCCCCCTGTCCCCTCTCCCGCCCCTGCCCCACTGCCACAGCATACATTGTCCCAATCTTGATAGCAAGAGCTAACACTTAGATCCACCCTGTGCTGGGCACCGCCAAATGACCTTGCTGGGTTTTCACTCATGTAATCCCCCAAGAATCCCAGAGGCCATTGGTTATACGCCCCATTTCACAGACGGCAAAACACATACCCTCCCTAAGCCTGGTAAAAAGCCCATTGACATTGCCTGCTCTGTCTCCTTGTCCGCAGCTGGAGAGCACGTCCCGTGTCTCTCTCTCTCTGGCTTCTATGTAACCCCCTCCCTGAATTTCTTTCCTGGGAACCTTCTTAGCTTCCCAGTTCATCCCATATACCAGACAGTTTTAATTTGAGCATTCATTTCTTTGAGCATTCAGGCAGGAAAAGGGCCTGTAGCTTTGGGGAACATTACTAAGGCGTTTAAGACCGCCCCCCTTCAAATTTGGGGTGGTGCGGGGAGAGTTGGAATGTGTACGTGAGTGGGACAGCCTAGTGGCTCCCAGCACAGGTCTGCAGAAGGACCACCCGTAGTCTAAAGCGAACCCGTAGGCTTTGTCACCCCACGATCTCACTAATACTAGTAATGAGAGCAGGTGCTGATTGAATGTTGACCCCACACCAGACACTGTTCTCAGCTCTTTGCGCTTGTTCATACATGTAATCTTCACAGCCTGATGAAGTTGGCACTATGATTAGCTCACGTTGCTGTCGCAACCCTGTCACCCCTGCGAATTCAGCTTAATGCTCTATACTGTCACCCGGGACTCAGAGTCTCAGCGCTTAAGCCTCTTTCCATGGGAGCCTCCAAGCCTCCCTGGCCGGTGAGGGCTCCATTCACCCCCATACAGCCCCTCCCCAGGCATCTCCCAGCATCCCCAGCACAAGGGGCACTGATGGGTGGTCTCAGCCGTACCCCAGCCCCTGCACGACATTTCCACCCTACTGTCCCATGGTGTGGGCTGCTGGGAGCTGGCATCCGGGCATCTGCCCTCTCCTGCCCTGTTCAGGCTGTTATTGGAAGAGGCCCCAGGGCAGCTCCAGAACTGACTGCAGTCGGTTTGAAGCCTTGGAGAGAAAGGCAGCCTGCAGACGGAGGCTGCGCCCACCCCTCTCTGCTCTCTCCTGGCCCCAGAGATCCCAGTGCTGGTGTGAGGACTTTCCGCCGTCCATCCCCTACTATCGTTCTGTTTCTCCATGATGGTGGCCAGGCCCTTCAGGCCTGAGCAAAATGACTCCCTCGTGTCCCTGAAGTCTCCGCGCCACCTCCCCATGTTACAGCTTCCCCGGGAAGCCGCCAGCCCCTTCCCCTAGAGGTCTCCAGGACCCACACATTCCCAATATGCGGACACCCTGAGCCCACCTAGTCATCCACCCATCCAGCCAGTCTGATCCTCCCGATCCAGATACTTCTGTGCTACTCAGAACCCCCGATCTACCCAGACCCACCAGTCTAACAGACACCCCAGTCCCATCTGTGGGCCTTACCCTCGCCCCAGCTGGCTCACCCGGCCTCCTGTGCGGTGAATGATGGGGAGGGGGGCTTTCTCTAATCTGCTCCCCCAGCAAAGGACCTTGAAGGGGGAAGGTTCTAGGGGTCTTTAGCAGAGAGCAGTGGAGGGAGGGGGTTGGAGGGAGGGGGCCCCAGCCCCTCACCTGCGTGCTCCCCAGGCTGCGCGGAGGTTCAGGTTCCGGGAGAGAGCGGGGCTGCTTAGCCTGGGTCCTGCCTTTATCCGCAGCAGCCTCCACGCCCTAAGCAAACCTGGGCAGGTAGAGAACTAGTCTGACTCCCTAAAGCTCAGGGGCTCTCTCACCTCACACCTGCTCTTAAAGAGACAGTTCCAACCCCCAACCACTAGTGGCAGGGAGCTCCCTGGGGTCTCTCGGGTCACAGCAGCCTTAGGCGAGGCAGAAGGAGAATACGATGAGGGCTGGAACTCTGCCCCTCACATCCAGAGAGGTGGCTTTCTCCAGTCACCTGCCCCTCAGAAAAGGACCTGGAAGGAGGAGGGGCTCAGGTCTTTAACGGCAGAGCTTCTGCCTGGCGGGGCGGTGGGGGGAAGGCCATGCTTTGTTTGTAATAACCTAATCTCTTTTACTTAGATTGTGTGTTGTCCTTGGAGGGGGGATGGGTGGCCATTGCGGGAGATCTAAAGTCCTCCTCCGGGCTACTTGCTGCCGTTGACACAGTTTGAGGGTCAGCAGAAGATGCTGATAGGACCAAGGTCATGAGGTGGGGACGGGATGCACGGGGTGGGGGGAGGGGGTGTGTGAGGGGGCAGTGAGCTGTTGGGCCGTAGACAATGACCTCTCCCCCATCGTGCCCATCATGGCCTAGGGAGACTGGGATCTGGTTCCCAGCACCAGGCAGACCTTCCCAGCCTGGGTTCTTCCCAAGGGTGCTGGGAGCCAGATGTCTCCGCAGTGGGTGTTGGGACGGGGGCTGCCTCTCACCCCGGATAAGGGCATTGCACTGTGCAAGGCTCCCTTCCCCTCCCTCCTCCCTCTCTTGTCCCTCCTCCTCATGGCATTCCTTCCAGCTGGGGTCTGTGCAGGTCCCCACTTGTTCCCCGTTGGGGTGCCCCCTCCCCCCAATTCCGCCTTTTTAGACAGAGGGACTTTTGTCTGGGGGCTGGATGGAGAACAAGGCGCCTTTGAGTGGCTGGCGGAGGATTGGGGTCACGGGGAGGGGCAGGGCCTTCCTAGGGTGGCTCTGCACTGGCCACCAGCTGGACTCCAGGCGACCCCCAACACCATTGCGGGGGTGGGGAGGAGGGTGCAGGAGCCAGGCCAGGGAGAGGGTACCATGGGGAGTGTGGAGTGCTGGACAAGGAGAGGGGGTTTTGAGGTCAAGGCCCTGCTGGGGGCAGGGAGAAAGGACCCCTCCCCACTTCTCAGCAGGGAGGGGGAAGGGTGGGGCAAGGAACGCCCGCCCAGCTACACGCTTTCTTTCTGTGGGCCCCTTGGGCAATTTCTCAATCCCAGGCCCTAGACTAGGACAGGGTCTCCCTACAACTCCCACCAAGGAGGGGCCAGTCCCTGCAAAGAGTGGGGTTCAGTCAGGGTGGGGCTCAGTCGAAGCAGGAGGTTCAGAGGGAGATAGAAACAGAGAAGGGGAGGCATGGTGGGGACTGGAGATCCCAGTCCAGCTAAGGGGGTCTTTGTGTCCGGTCAGATAACATCTCTTGCCCAGACATTTCAAGATTGCAATGTTCCTTTGAAGACCCTTCTGGTGGTCTTGGGGGTGGGGTGGTGTCTCCCTCTGCTGGGAAGTCCAGGAACTGCGTGCATCCGAGGCAGAAGGGGCGAGTGCTGGGTGGCTAGGAGGGATGCTCCATCCCTCACCTGTGCCGGAGTCTGCACACTCAGATGTCAATGGGGCCAGGCAAGAATCATGAATGAGTGAAGCAGGCCAGGCATGAGACTATAAGGTACGGTGGCAGCTGGGCAAACAGAACTATTGTCCTGTCTATAGGGCAGCCACCGGGACTTCCCTGGTGGCACAGTGGTTAAGAATCCGCCTGCCAATGCAGGGGACTCGGGTTCGAGCCCTGGTCCAGGAAGATCTCACATGCCGCCGAGCAACTAAGCCCATACGCCACAACTACTGAGCCTCAGCTCTAGAGCCCGCGAGCCACAACTACTGAGCCCACATGCCACAACTACTGAAGCCCGTGCACCTAGAGCCTGTGCTCTGCAACAAGAGAAGCCACCACAATGAGAAGCCCACGCACCGCAACGAAAAGGAGGCCCGGCTCTCTGCAACTAGAGAAAGCCCGTGCACAGCAACGAAGACCCAGTGCAGCCAAAAATAAAAATAAAATAAAATAAATTTAAATGAATAAAGGGCAGCCACAAAAATCACTGGCTCAAGCTCATGTGGACAGATACAGAAGTACCTCCCAGACATCTTGCTATGGGAAAAAAAGGAAGATGTAGAGACACATGCTACCATTTGTAAGGGGATAAATAATGTATATTCATATACTTATAAATGAATGAAATATCTTTGGAGATTGGTACCCATGGCTGCTTCTGAAGAGGAAGACCGAGAGGCTGGGAGATGGCTGGGAAGGGAGACTCACTTAAGCTCATGCACCTTCTTCTACCTTCTGAA